ATTTCGGGAATTTCGGATGCCATTTCCCCGCGCGACATCCACAAAAATCCTCGCAGCATGTACGCGCGTGTGCCGCAAGGGATGGCGCAATTTGTTCTAAAAATAGAAAAATTGTCCCATATCATAGGGACAGCCCCAAAACTAAAAATGGCATGCGCTTACGGTCTCCGTCCCCGATTATGGCTCCTGGTCTCTCATAGTGTTGCCCAAACTACAAAATGAAAGCTAACCGCAAGCAAATCGGGCAAACCTTCGTGGAACTAACCCCAAGCAAACCGGAATGGAAAACTAACCTCCAACTTATTAATATCCCAAAAACTACGGTCTTTCGGACAACAAAAACAAGACGTAAGCAGGCGCGTTTTATTTCAGTCCCAGACCATTTTCGGCTTGGTTGACGCTTTGTCCTTAGTCGCATTCTCAAGACGAACCGTGAGATGAAGGGTGATCATTGTCGGCTGTTCGTACACCCTGGTATACCGCACACAAAAGTAGGCCCCGGTTGCTCAAAAGATAGATGACCATAGATAAGTGTCAGCCACTATCCACTGGATAGTGAGTTATCCGATGGACAGCGTTATCCACCTTTCGAACAACCCTAGTCTGCGTAGCAGCCGTTTCCTTTCCTTTTCCAGACGGAGAGATCGAGCAAGCGGATGAGCGAAGGAGCGGGCCTGGGGTGATCTCTCCTCACCTCCTCCCCCTTATTTTTCGCACTCACTTGCAGTTTCGTTTCCTTCCTGTGCTTTTTTGGAAACGCCTGGAAACGCCTGGCTACGCAGGCTAGAACAACCCGGGCCACAGACCAGCCACAGAAATTACGACATGCCACCTGCCCGGCCCACTCGCCCGCGCGTGAAAGGCCGCGTAAGGACTGGACAGAACAGAGTAGAGGAGGGTACTGAGGCCATGTTTTCCACAATTCAAATGGTTCAGCAAGTAAAGCTGTGTAGTAACATACACGATAAGGTAACGCTACATAAGCTAAATAGAATCCTTACCAAAATATAACATGGATTGATAGTTTTTAAACTCCATTGCAAAGAAGAACGTTCCTCCAACGGGCAAGTAATACGTTCGACACTAAAGGGACGCACGAAAGTCCCGAGACAGAAGTGGACTGTCCGGGTACCCGCATTAAGAGGGCTCTCTGAATAAATATTGTCGACTTAAGTGTACAACGTACGTATTTCAGAGAGAATATTCAAGCTTCTTGTTAGGATAAACAAAAGTGTTTATGATAAGCGGGTGTCCGTATTATCATTTAAAAGTGGGTGACAGTATAGAGCTGGGTTCCATTGTATTCTATGGAAGCAAGAGATCATATTCTTCAGATACCGTAACTCCTCGAATTAGTGCCCCCTTCAAAAAAACGCCCCTCCTATCGGCCAAAATTTTAAATAAGCCCCCCCCCCTTCTCCCCCCATTTTGTGGACGAGTAACGAGACAATAAATGATGTATAGTTTTCGTCTCGTAGTATTAGATTTGTACATGGTTTCAGTTTGTGAACACGTTAAGTCAACATATTGAACACATTAAGTACTAACAGCGCCGCGATTTAAACTTAGGTTCAGCTTTTAATGTCGATAAACGGCTTATGTTGTTGTTTACGTGCAGATGATGTATCAAAAAAATGATCATGTCAGGCCACGATTTGGGAAAAATTAAATAAGTGCCCTCCCCTCGATTAAGCTGCGCCCTCGAATAAGTGCCCCGTGTCTTCTCCTAAATTTGAAATAAACACCCCGGGCACTAATTCGAGGATTTACTGTAATTTAATGTTTATTTCCAGGGAACAAGGGATACTGTAAATCCTTGAATTAGCACCTCCTGTCAAATACTCCCTCCCTCCTATCGGCCAAAATTTAAAATAAATGCCTCTCCTCAAGTAAGTACCCCCTCCCCTCCCCTCCCATCCCCTCCCTCTGCTTATGGAAGAGTATTGATACAACAAGCATGTATAGTTTTGGTAGTGTATGTGATTATTGACTCTTTCAAGCACTGGACACTGACCGTCGCAATTCAACAGATGGTAGTGAAGATCCACTGATTCATTGAATACTAAAGCCCAAACATCCTTGTACAGCAGGCCAAGACCAGCTATGGGAGTTATGTTACATAGTTCTTCAAAATTGACACGATCCTTTTGAGACTTCTGAGGGACTCTCACATACATGTATACGGTGAAATCCCATGTTAAAGCCACCCCCCACATAAACCCTTCTATTTGCTAACAAAGACATTACTCTGGATATAAGCCCTATCAGATATATATAAATTTCTAATTGAAAGTAATAACAGGGTAATAGCTCTAAATGTATTGATATGTTAGCTTTAATTCGTTACTCAGATACATTTTATCTCATCGTTCCGAAACATTTTTATTCTGCTTATATGCTCCCCAGATATACCCCCTCCCCTCCTCCCCCTTCCCTCCTTAATACCATTTAGCATACATCTAGAGGTGAGCAAAGGGACAGACTGCCAGTGGAGAGTAAATAATTAACAAAAATGAATTTAGAAAGAAATTAATATGAGCCAGAGCAGGCTCAAAAATAGCAGATTAAAATACATGCTGAGCATTTTGTGACTTACTTTTTCACCAAAGGGCCAGTGACTGTGTCTGGGTTAGGAGGAATTGGCCTCAAAAATTCACAACAAGATGGCTTTGATTCCACACTTGGGCTACAACAACTGGCTACCGGCTGTGAACAGATCACATGGCACTCAAAATGTACTTGACATACATGTAGTTACAGTATATTCAAACATATTTCAACCAAAAATGAAGTTTTGTTTATCAGTCTATACAAGGTTTTCTTACTTATTTCCTTGTATACCATGCAACCTGGTCCTTACTTTTAGACTAAAGATGAAAGCCTATAAATGTACATCTGAAGGATATATTTAGTTACAGTGTATGCGTAAATAGAATATAGAATAGACAGTTATAATAAAAAAAACTAAATATAAAAAAAATACCATTGTAACAATGATACTTACCTTTAGGTCTTGGCGACAATTTGAAAGTTTAGTTTTGCCCAACACAAGAATATTTGCAGCAATTGTAGTCCCTTGGTCGTGTTTGCTCTTACTTCTGTATCCCAAAACTTCTTTCCACTCCTGTTCACTGCTTCCCTGACAAAGTCATGATTTATTAATAAACTTTCTTTTATTCTGCAACATTGACTGAGATCTCCTTAATTAAAAGATCAATGCCTTGTTGAAAAACAGTGTCCTCCCAGAGTAATCCACAGACGTGACAGATACATCAAATATACCTGTTATCACATCAGTCAGTGTAGAATGCAGACTAAGGCTGTATAGACTGCAGACTGGGGGTTAAATACAGACTCAGGGTACAATGCAGACTACAGACTTTTTTATTAAGTATATTGCTATATGCATCGTGTTATTTCTATGATCAAACTCATGCTAGCCATAAGTTTACACACATGGTTATTCTGGCTAATCATAGTGAAAGTCTGCACTCCAGTTAGCCTAAATAACGCTCCAGTTAGCCTTAATAACGTTCTGGTCAGCCCATTTATGGTTAGCTCTTAATGTTGGAAAAGGAAACACCATTCAGTAAAAAAGTATACTGAGTCTGTATTTTACCCCTGGTCTGCATTTTAACCCCAGTCTGCAGTCTACATTTTACACTGATTGTAATCACATATATAATGAAGTAAATACAGAATAAAGGCAATAGGAGATGATGTTTACAAGACATTCTGCTGTTCTCCTAGGCTTGCTGACTACTATTTATTTTCTAATCAACATTTTGATAATGTGAAAGTTTAACACTTACAAATATAAGATCTCCCTCCTCATCAAAATAGCTAAATGCCAGAGAATGGTTGAGTGACAACTTGTCTGTTACCCATTGTGTTACTTCTTTCCATCTGCGAAAACAAACATATGATGTGCAAGATATTTTTGTATGTCTGGAACGTTTATTAACCACGCGGCCATGGGCCGAGCGCGGTTCATGTTCTACCCTTGGTTTATTATTATTATTTTTTTTTTTTTTGTCGGTGACCAGACCCAAACTCACTCTCGGCCAAATTTTGAGTCACGCAACGTGTGATGTTTATTTGCCACAAGCTGTTGAAACATTAATACATGGACAATTTTACGGATATTTTTTTCTTTGTTGTGGGTAAAATATATTTTCTTTTGGTTTTATCGAAACGTTGGATTCAAAGGGAACAATAAATATGTGTAAAGAAGGTATTACGTCAGCCATGGAATGCGCAGAGGTTGCAGCTTTCACTTTCGCTACATGACAAATAAGATCGTGTTTACTTTGCACGTTTATTTCGCCAGAAGCGATGGGCATCAATTTATTTGCAATTTTGTGATTATTTCTTGTGGTTTTCAGGCAAATGAAATAAATCCTTTGGCTATTTCATAGGAGCGAGTTTGGTGATCAGAAGGAAAATTAAATATTTGCGAGCCAAGCAAAGAACATGTCAGAACGTGCAAGGATTACGTCATTGGAAGGGAAATAACCACCATACTAAAGATAGCCGTGGATAACGGAAGTCTTGAATTATGTGATTCATGTGACTACTTTGCTAGCCCTTTACTCGTAGAAAACACCAATTAAATTTCATCAAGACTTTTAACAAAGAAAGCTGTTGTTAATAGTGTTATTATCGTATCTTTCATATCATTCCTGCCCATACATATTGCGAAGAAAGTTCCAGATTAAGACCATTACATCATCGAGATTTCACAACAGCTACGACTGATGGTGCAATAATAGAGCTTGTGTTGATCAAGTGATGTGATGTCTACAGTAACAAAAGAATCATCAAGGACTGTTTTGGAATGTGCACTGCGTTGCGACTGTAGTGCTAAGCAAACAGTTAAATTTTAAAAGCGCAGTTATAAGATCTAACAGATCTTCTTGTTTGCTTTAAACATTAATATTTTGATAACGAAGAAAAGCACCAAGTGATATTCATGAAAATGGAAGTCTTCCATTATATTTTGTAATGTATGAATCACGTGCAAATATATTTGGGAAGGAACAGTGGAAAATTGAGGTGTTTACTGTTTGCTAACAACTAATTCTAAAATCAGCAAACATTTGCATAATTTATCATCGTCAACCTTTCCAGGGTGTTTAGATCACCAAATCTTCGAGCCCAAGGGATTGTAATTATTTGCCAAAATATATCGAGTTGCTAGTCTAACCAAAGATGATACCAAGGTTAGCAAAACCACCAAAATTTTAAATTTTTATTCATCCCTATTTATGGCGGTGTCAAATTAACAGTCACTTCACTTGAGTAGATGTATGTGTCGGCAGGATTCTTGGTTTCCAAAATCCCTGAAAGTAAGTGCTGGAGATGGTTCTCGATACAAAAGGATAGCAATTATTTAGAAATTATTTAGATATATAAAGACAGAGGGTGAAGCTTGGGACAAAAGGAAAACCAAAACTATATTTTTTTAATTTTATAGTTCCGTGACTGATGCAATGCATCCATTTTCGGTGGTTCCTGTGGTTGAAGACCTTGCTCGTGATTGGCCATAGTTCAGTAAACATTCCAGACATCTTTCAAATGTTCATGGTTCTATGAGTTTGACAGTGAAATAGGTCCTTCCTTCGAGAGCAGTCCCAGGAAATAAAAGATTTAACCATAAGTGTGAAGAAAAAATGGAATTTTGTCAGCAAACAAATGAAAAACAAACTTTTATCTGACCCATTATCTGCTGGTAGCTGAGCGACCACAGGTGGTCTCTGAAATTCACTTGCGAGCCCTTATCAATTAGGGGTTTTGGATTCAAGTTATTAGATACATGTAAAACAGATATCCTGGGATAACAGGGTGGAAAATTGTGATTTTTGAAAGGTTAAATCAAAGAGATACATGATATATATGCCAAAAATTATTGGGATTAGGAATACTCAGACATTCCATAATGGGCCACATTTGTGAACCAGAAGATTCAACCTCTCAAATGTGTTGCAAGTGGTAAAGTGTCGTGGAACACATCCTTTTGCAGTTGATTTGCAGTTACTCTTTATCTGAACAGCAGTTACTACTTTTTCCGCCTTGCCCATCCATTTAAAAGAAATAAGTAAGCTTAATATTTGTACTGNGACATTCCATAATGGGCCTCATTTGTGAACCAGAAGATTCAACCTCTCAAATGTGTTGCAAGTGGTAAAGCGTCGTGGAACACATCCTTTTGCAGTTGATTTGCAGTTACTCTTTATCTGAACAGCAGTTACTACTTTTTCCGCCTTGCCCATCCATTTAAAAGAAATAAGTAAGCTTAATATTTGTACTGAATGGTATGCTACCTCCAAAACCATTCTCTACCCTCCCCGCTCCTTCACATCAACACGCAATGTTTACCGTCAAGTCCGGTGTCACTACGTAACACTAAAACTCTACGTCTGTATGTCCTTGAATTAATGAAACGAGTAAACTTATTTGTTCTGCAACACTTTTACAGTGGTTTAAGGCTTGGTTGCACATCATCTTTAAGGCACGGCTTTGATATGCTAAACTTGGAGGCCGGTTACGAGCCCATGCAAATATATGTGACGGTGACGAAGTCGAATATATTAAAACTCAACTAAACCTCGGAAAGTTGTCATAAATTTCGAGTTTTGTCCACATACCTAACTCTATCGGTGGTCTGAAACAGATGTGGTCCTTGCTCTGTCAATTCACATCCATTTTCGTCGACAATATTCAGTTGAAGACTGACTTTTCCGTCCATGATTTCACTTGACGAAGAAGACTGCGAAATCACATGATTTTCTTGTGATCAGATGTCTCGACCCAGAGCCTTCGCTTTCAGCGAAAAAGAGGCAGCTGTGGGAAGGGTTAAACGCAGGAACGGAACGAATCGAATTGGGAATAACCGGAACGAGCCAGAACGAGCCGGAACAAACCGGAAAGGTGGAAAATGTTACTTGATTCCAAACAGTTGATAAATCTGGCAATAATCTGAATAACTTTCTTGTTTACCTGAAAACAAATTTGCGGTATGTCAGATCTTGTGTTGCGAATGCCAAGACTCAACAGGCCGTTCTTCGCAAACTTCACAAGTTTATTAAGATCGCAAGGTTCGCTTTCCTCTCTCGCTCTGACTGTGTACTTGTGCTAAAAAGACTCAACACACTGCACTCCTTAAAAAACTTAGCGAAACCTAATTTGATTGGCTTACAACCTTTTCTAAACAGTTTCTTTGATCACGGAATATTACCCGACACGCAAACTTACTTGTTTTGTCGATAAGATGAACCGCGTTTTACAATCTGGTGCTAATTAACTGGTAATCATCGACTGAACTAATTGAGACTGTTAGGCACGTGCTTTCTAGATTCCCTGAATCACGCAACTTAAAAATAGGATAAACTGTCACACAATTAAATTGGAACTTTCATGACACGTCTTGAGTCCGAGTTCAAGTTTCAAGTAAAGAGTTTCATGAGAAACGTAAATTTCTGATCAACCTTGCATTTGTGTTTGAGTAAAACTCAGGCCATAGTGCTCAGGTACGGAAATATTTTGATTATTGCGGCGTCATCGTTTTCGATCGAAAAGCTCCATTTTCAAAATGTTTTTCGTCCACACAAAAACGAAAAGGTCGGCGTTGTCAAATTTCTCCGGTTTGAAGAGCAGTTTTGAAAAGCTCTGTTTTCGTGACGTATTAATGTAGTATCTTTCGACTTTTTTAATTAATTGTAAAACACATAATTACTTACATTACTAACAATACTCTACTTACAATATAACACTTCAATTATTTATTTTACCTACACTACTTTTTAATACAAGGCTAAAGCTACTTCTCAAACTAATTAACAATTTATCAAGTTTAAACAAAAGAAATCTTGACTGTGATGGTGTTTGGATATCTGTAATCTTAATTAGCATAGATTCTTATGACCTTATTTCTCCGTTTTCTCTTCAGTTTTAGTTTTGATTGAGAAGATCGATGATTACATCAAACACTCAAGACAGTCAGGTTTGACCACATTTCCAAACACCTCGAAGTTCGTCGAAAACACTCCGCTACGCGTCGTATTCTCAACCGGCTCTTACCGTGTTTGGAAATGTGGTCAAAGACAGTCTTTCGTGTTTGATATATTACTTGAAACACAATTTGAACACTATTTACAAGCTACAGCTATTTATAATACAATATAAACACTACTTACAATGCTACGGACACTAACAAATACCCACATTACTTAATTACTAATATACAGATACATACATAACTCACTAATTTACAGTATCTCGCATTACCTACATTACCGTAACATAACTCGCAATCCTAACTTAACATACAATACTTACAAAGTTTAAACTAGTATAAAATTACGAGGTATCTTTTGACTCGCCTCTTAGCTCTCCGCTTTTGGTCGCCATCTTTAATCACATGTTTCGCTAAGTAGTATTAACCCTTGGGGAGTCCCATATAAAAAGGACAGGGGTGCTCGTTGTGCCTTTTAGGGGTTTTGGCGATTTTGGTACTTCTCAGGGTGTTCAGCCGCAACAGGTCTACAGCGAGAGCTTTTGCAGCACCTACTAGGGTATTGAGCCGACAGAAAAAAAATGACCGGAGATAATGTGTTGTTCAAGCAAAACAGGATCTTAGTGCCTCTTAGGGGTTCTTTTCAAAATTTCCGCGAGCACCTCCGTCCTTTTATATAGGAGTCCCCCCGGGATATTAATCATGATCAGAATAAAACAGTGAACAACCATGCTTTGATCCAACGTCGCTCCCGTACTCTCTGCTTCCCTTGTCGATGAGAGAGAGCCTGGGAACGAGGTTGGTTTTGATCGTGGCTCGCGCAATGCACCAACTGACGCGAACAGTTTTCGCAGTGAAACAGCACAAAAGGCACAAATGTTAAATCGGCATCTTTTTTCTGGGCTCCAATATATGAAGAGTCGGGCTCTAGGACTCTGGAAAAATTTCATGACTTTAGTACTCTGTAAATCATGTCTCTTGATCAAGCTTGGCAAATGCCTAGCTCCAACGCGTCATTCCTTATCCCCTTTCTTTGTTCTTCAACGGCAGAAAACATTGTCAATGTGACTACCTGAGGTAAGCAACATTGTGATGTTGTAAGCGCAGAATCTACCGAGCTAGAGATGTCGTATGCTTGATCATTCTTCACTCTACATTTGCTTCTAAGCAGCTCTCCGAGAGGACAGCTTCCCGTCTTTCTCAGAGCTGTCACGAATTTGTCGTTCCTAAACGCGAATAAACAAGGGTTTAGACAAGCATTTGCCACCAAACATACCGGTGGGAGCCACCATAAGAGGGTACGATTAAATCGAGCATCCTCGAAGACATTCCCTCCTCGAAAGGTAAACCAGGCCAGCGAGAAGTTAGGCGCAGCGAAAAACACAAAGCTTGTGAGAACAATGACGCTTACACGTTTGGCTAATCTCGACTCTCGCAGCACGCCAAGATTGCGAGCGGATTTTCGCGCCACGATGAAAATATGCAGATACAACACAACGACAACAAAATAAATGAGAATCAAACACAGCAACAGTAGTTCGCTCACAAATACAGTGGATATTAAGGACTGGTTCCTGTGGATCAAACACATGTGACCTGGTTTCTGGTTATTTTTTGCGTCCAGAATCTGTATCAAAGCTGCGGCTGTTGCGCCCGCGATCCAAAACAGCACCAGAGATGTTGCCATAGCTTTGCGACCGAGCCTTACACTAGGCCTCATACAGAATACAACCGCCATGTATCGCTCTATCGTCATCAGTAGTGACGTCAGACTTCCCACGACTTCAGCAACTATGAACAAGTTTCTGAAGATAGGGCAGTAAATCGTCTGCCAAGTTTTAAACTCATGAACACTCTGCCCATGTCCGAATGCCATACCAACGGAATAAATTCCCACTAAAAAGTCACAGAAAGCCATCTCTGACACCAGCAAAAATGGTAAACATTTACGAAGGTTTTTCGCTCGCATTACAGTTGTGAAAACAACCAAATTTGACAAAATCGCGCTAGTTCCCAAGACAAACAACAGAGGACGAAGTTTATAAGTAACATCCCAGCAAATATTAAAGCGACTACTGAAAGTCTTAGTTATATTTCTTGTAACAAGAAAAACTGTACAGTTTCGACTTTGAAGACACGCGGTCTTGTTCTTTCGAACCTGCACCACAACTTGCTCTCGCAGAAAATGCGTGCATCCTTTTATCTCGCTGGCGGCTTTTTGAAGCTGTACGTTACTTGCTTTGTCTAATTGAGTGTTGTTGATCAATGTCACGTTGTTTCCTTCTAGATTGCTGTTTAAAACAAAGAAAAAATGAAACACATGTAACTAAATTCGAATCAAATAAGAGCATGAATTAACATACACTGGACACTAGGTTTGCTTTTACTCGAAATGTAGCAAAAACTGACGAAGGAATATGAAACAAATTGCGGTAACAAACACGACAAGTCGACTACGAACTGGTTTGGAGAGGATTTGAATCCCTAATCTAATGGCGGATGGTTTTTGTCTCCGTAATAGAGCGGCTCGTAAAACCAAAACCAAAGTAATCACTCTAGCCAATCACAAACGACGCGTAAAGTCCAGAGAACCAATCAAAACTCGAAGTAATTACATCAGTAGGTGACCCAAAGCGCGGGAAAACGTGTGCGAGGGAGTTGCGATTGGTTCTGGTTTTACTTCTAATTGGATGAAAATAGGACGCGAGTTTTTTTTTAAAGCCAATCGTGTAACGTAGTGATGCAAAACTTATTACTTTTCGACAACCGAATAAAAACCGTTCTATTTGAAGAATTACAAGGAAATGTTATAGATGTCTCTAAATTCACTCAAGATGTTCTTGAATGAATTAAGAGACCACTTTCAAACATGCTTAACATGTTGGTGTGAACGGAGTATATGACTTACACGTGTTGAAGATTATCAAGAGCGCTAAACACGTCAAAAAAAAGCGTTACAATTCTGTTATAGCTCAGGTCACTGAAAGAGAAAGAAAGTTCCAAATATACAAGGTAGAATTATCAAAGTAACTTATCCAATTGTGCTTTGAGGCGCTTTTAAAAAACTCAACTCACTGTTAGATCAAAGTACTTCAAATATCAAATTTGTCAAACGAGAAGCAAATAGCGTACATGTTAAACGTGGTGTCCCAGCTCCTTGAAAAGAAATCCTCTCATATTTTTGAAGATTTATATAAACCAACAGTTCGAAAATTGGAGTTTTTGTTTCTTTTCTTTTTGAATTTCCAAACCTACACATGATTAAATCGCGTATTTTAGCTCAGTGAAGTTCGTCAAGTTTGGCCCTCTTCTGTAAACAGTAGCGGACTAAGAGTAGTCCCTCTTACGCTTAGTCCGTCGTGTGTGACGCGAAAGAAAACCGCTAGAAAAAAAATGGCCGCGCAAATCCTGGGGGCGCTTCCCGCCAAAAGGCAAGAAGCGCTTCTCGTCCCCAGGATTTAGCGCGGCCATTTTTTTCCTCGAGGCTTATTTACGGTCACGCTCGACGAACTAAGCAAAAGAGGGATTACTCGTAGTCTTGTAGATAGAGGCTGATATAGAGTGCATAAGTGGTTCGGTTGTTGTTGTTACATCATATGTTTTTCCTCTAATTCGGAACTTACAGCTCTTCGAGGCCGCGAAGTCCGATGAATGCTTTGTGTTGTACGACTGTAATGTTGTTGTGTTGTAAGAATCTAAAACAAAGTAAATTGGTAAATTTAAGTAATATATAGATTTAGCCAAGCCTACAAACGGAGCTTCTGATTATAATTAACCATAAAGAAAAAAAAAAGGATTTGTTTTCTTTGGAACAGAAACTCAAAAAATGATCAATTGTGAGCATCTAATTGCTCAGCGCGTGGTGTCACTATTTTTCCAATTAAATTTTATCAAACTCTACTCAATAAGTGTGCCCAAGATTGTAGAAATTAAGTACGCAATATAGAAGGGACTTTCCAAGAGTCGGAAGAAAAGTCAATAACGCGCCAGGGGTTAATTTGCGCAGAAATTTTGCATTTGCACGTACTCCCTTCTTCTCCCCCAGAGTTGCAACCTGGCTTGAGCCCGCGATCCACTGAAAAAAACGGTACCTGGTTAACTTCAAAAAGGCTCTTAACCTCAGCCCGCGATATGGTCGTAAAGATACTGGTCAGCTAATACCTTGTTTTGACAGCTGTCAATTAATCATAACATGGGCCGGATATCCAGTATCAAAGATGTACCTATGGCAATGGTGCTTAACTGTCTTATTTTTCAAGGTACGCCCGTGGGGCTTGACGTAAGGACGTACGTACACGGACGTACGTGCGTACGGACTGTCATGTGACAACCCAAATTTTTTAGATCGATAGGTTACCAGATTTTCTACCGTATGGGGCTACGCTCTGGCTCATTCGGCGTGTGGGAGCTCCGCTAATAAATCAGTTACTCAGCTCCTGATCACAAGACTCGATTATTTAAGAAGGATTGATCAAAATCGTTCACCCGTTTGTTCGAGCAGCTCGTTTCCATCTAGGAAGGAGTTCATCGGCAAACAACCTGAGCGGAAACCAATCACAATAAGGCGAGCAAACAATTGATCAATCAATCAATTAAGCCATAAATAATTAAACTGATTGTTACTTACAATGTCTTTAATGCAGGAATTCCACGAAACATGCCACTTGTCAAATTTCCTAGCTGGTTATAGCTCAGATCCCTGAGAAAAAAAATTGAAATAAATGTGGTCATTAAGGCTAAAAACCCCATCGGCGTTTCCCAATGTATATTACTCAACAGCATGCCTCGAAAATAAATTACGCAGATCCCTCGCAAAAAAATTTGCAAATGTTTGCCAAATTTAAAGCCTGGAAAAGATCATTACCATATCAGTTTTTAAGGGTGTAATCATTATTTTAAAAAGAAAAATCGCTAAAGCACTATTCAAAGAAATCAGGTACGGCATTCAAATCCATTGTATTTGAAATAACTCAATTAATAAAATTCATTAAAGAAGCTAAAGGACTCACATTTCAAGTAATGATGGAAGTCCTTTGAAAGTTGCATTCCCCGTTAATGCTTTTAAGCCATTATGGTTCAGAATTCTGTAAGTTGAAAGATTGAATTATTGTAAGGTTGTTCATTTCTAAGAGTATAGCATGTTAGCACGAGAAATCAGGCAGTCAGTCAGTCAGTCCGCAGATCAGACACTCAGTCAGTAAGTCAGTCCGTCAGTCCGTCGATCAGACACTCACTCCGTAAGTCAGATAGTTAGGCAAACAATCAGTCAGTCAGTCTGTCCACCGATCAGACATTCAGTCAGTAAGGCAGATTGTCAGGCAGACAATCAATCAGTCAGTCAGTCAGTCCGCCAATCAGACACTCAGTCAGTAAATCAGATAGTCAGGCAGACGGTCAGTCAGTCAGTCAGTCAGTCCGCCGATCAGACACTCAGTCAGGAGTCAGGCAGACAATCAGTCAGTCCGCAGATCAGACACTCATTTAATAAGTCATATAGTCAGGCAGACAATCAGTCAGTCAGTCAGTCAGTCTGCCAATCAGACACTCAGTCAGTCAGTCAGTCAGTCAGTCAGTTGGTCAGGTGGTTATAGCCAGGCCATCACAATCTTAGCCAATCAGCCGGGGGGAGGAGATTCCCATATAAAAAGGTCGGGGATGTTCGTCATCTCGCTTAGGGGTATAAATCAAGGATTCTGGTTTCACTTAGGGTGTTCATGACAAAACGCCACTATTTTTAGCTGTCAAAGTATCATTTAGGGTGTACTCGAAGAGATAATAACAAAAAAAACGCTCCCATAGTTCTTATACATTTTCGCTTTTAGGCTCGATTTCCTCCGCTCTCTCCAGTCCAGTCTACTAGCCCGTGCTCCCTTTCTGAACAACGGCTGGTACTCGTCGATTCGTCAGTGCAAGANATAGCTCAGATCCCTGAGAAAAAAAATTGAAATAAATGTGGTCATTAAGGCTAAAAACCCCATCGGCGTTCCCCAATGTATATTACTCAACGGCATGCCTCGAAAATAAATTACGCAGATCCCTCGCAAAAAAATTTGCAAACGTTTGCCAAATTTAAAGCTTGGAAAAGATCATTACCATATCAGTTTTTAAGGGTGTAATCATTATTTTAAAAAGAAAAATTGCTAAAGCACTATTCAAAGAAATCAGGTACGGCATTCAAATCCATTGTATTTGAAATAACTCAATTAAGGAAAATCATTAAAGAAGCTAAAGGACTCACATTTCAAGTAATGATGGAAGTCCTTTGAAAGTTGCATTCCCCGGTAATGCTTTTACGCCATTATGGCTCAGAATTCTGTAAGTTGAAGGATCGAATTATTGTAAGGCTGTTCATTTCTAAGAGTATAGCATGTTAGCACGAGAAATCAGGCAGTCAGTCAGTCAGTCTGCAGATCAGACACTTAGTCAGTAAGTCAGTCCGTCAGTCCGTCGATCAGACACTCACTCCGTAAGTCAGATAGTTAGGCAAACAATCAGTCAGTCAGTCTGTCCACCGATCAGACATTCAGTCAGTAAGGCAGATTGTCAGGCAGACAATCAATCAGTCAGTCAGTCAGTCCGCCAATCAGACACTCAGTCAGTAAATCAGATAGTCAGGCAGACGGTCAGTCAGTCAGTCAGTCAGTCCGCCGATCAGACACTCAGTCAGGAGTCAGGCAGACAATCAGTCAGTCCGCAGATCAGACACTCATTTAATAAGTCATATAGTCAGGCAGACAATCAGTCAGTCAGTCAGTCAGTCTGCCAATCAGACACTCAGTCAGTCAGTCAGTCAGTCAGTCAGTTGGTCAGGTGGTTATAGCCAGGCCATCACAATCTTAGCCAATCAGCCGGGGGGAGGAGATTCCCATATAAAAAGGTCGGGGATGTTCGTCATCTCGCTTAGGGGTATAAATCAAGGATTCTGGTTTCACTTAGGGTGTTCATGACAAAACGCCACTATTTTTAGCTGTCAAAGTATCATTTAGGGTGTACTCGAAGAGATAATAACAAAAAAAACGCTCCCATAGTTCTTATACATTTTCGCTTTTAGGCTCGATTTCCTCCGCTCTCTCCAGTCCAGTCTACTAGCCCGTGCTCCCTTTCTGAACAACGGCTGGTACTCGTCGATTCGTCAGTGCAAGACTCAGTCAGTAATGCTCAAGGAAAGATCGGCCCATTCTCGTCCCCAGTGCTATTCGTTTTAAAATTTGTTTAGCCGACCACGTGACCAAAAGAAACGGAGGCTCTGGGGACAAGAATGAGACCGTCCGGGATCAAGTGATCTTCGCGCATGCCCAAAAGCAGCAATGAGGAGTATAACTTACAATCTCGTTAGTGACCGAAGACCAAGAAACGCTTTGCTCTTTGGTATTTCTGTTATCAAATTGGAAGAGAGATCTCTGTGAAAATGAATGTGAAGCCAAGTTAATAAGAATTGGTATCTGACATCTGAAACAGGTAAAAAATCATACTGGTAAAGGATCTTAGTAAAGAGAAAAGATTCAAATGAGCAGCCATCTATTTCTCCTTCGATCAGCCAGGCAGTCAATGACAGGAAAATGAACGAGCGAACGAAAAACCAGTGAACGATCAAACAGACGAACGAACGGGCAAATAAACAAACGAGCTAACGAACGAAGAACGAACGAAAGAACGAACGAACGAACGAAAGAACGAATGAATGAATGAATGAATGAAT